AGTCTACCTTAGTAGGCAGATCATTCACTTCCTATGAGTACAGAATGTGTGTTACATTATCTCTGAATAAATATACTTGTTGAAATATACAAAAAAGACATTTTTTCTTTCAAGAAATAATATTTGATAAAGCATGGAACAGAGAACGTATTGGCTGCCCTGAGTCTGATGAGACATTGGGCAGATCCACATTTAGCCCACCTGTAGAACATCTTTGAGACATGGAGGAAGGTCCAAATGGTCACTTGGATCCACTAGAACTAGTTTCCTGTCAGTGTGGAGGTTTTTGCAGCCTGTCCTGAAGATGCCACACACTGATACAATCATCTACAGGAGTCACCAGGGAAATGTGACAGTGAACTTATTTTAAGTTTGGGATCAGAGTCTAAGCCACAGTAAGGAAATGTAATGTTCTCCAAGGGGAAAAAGGGTTGGACTGGCATTTTCGGAACGTACAAAATGGCTCCTTTGAAGTGCAGAAATGTTTACCAATGAGTCAAGAACAAGCTGTGCACACTCTACCCAGGGACTTCTGTGGACCCACAGTAATGATAAGATGCTGGGTAGAAAAAAAGTCAAAAGCACTCCAGCACTCAAAGCCCTGGAAATCAGATCCCAAAGCTGGGGAAATCCCCAGATACCTAATGAATGGGATTCTAGGTTATCTGTAGGTCACATTTTTGTGTGTGGAAGCAGAGGCTGACACTGGGTTTCTACCTCTACTGCTCTATGACCATTTTTTCCAAGACCTTGGAGTTTGCTATTCTTGAGGGACTAGGAACTAGTCAGATCCCTGACAGGCAGATAGGAAAAGGGGGCATAGAGAGATTGTGAAGATGGCAAATTTCCTAGCTTCTTCCTCATCCTCCTGACCTAAGAGAAAGATCTGCTGGGCTTCCCCCCACCCCTTACCAGTGGGGCTTCTATTCTGTCTAACCCAGCAAGCTGGTAAAATATATTCACATTTCCTGAAGGTGTTTGCCTATCAAGCGCCTCTCTGCAACACACACACCCTGTTTTTTTGTTGCATGTTTCAACTAAAAAACTCAAAATTAGGCCAGAGGTCTTATGCCACTAAAAACACTTAACTCACTAGTTTCTCCAAGAGAAAAGGGCTTTTAGTTCCTCTTCTGCTCTGGAGAGAGTCTTTCCTTCTGCCTTTGTGTCTGTCATTTTTATCCCACACCACCTGGTGTGTGTGTGTGTGTGTGTGTGTATGTGTGTGTGTGTGTGTGTGTGTGTGTGTGTGCACATGCATGCCCGTGCATGTTGTTTATAGTTTTCTTGGGTACAGGGGAAGCAGCTCCAGGATTAAGGCGCTTGTAGTGTGAGGACTGTAGTTTAGATTCCCAGGCCCCAAGCAAATGCCTGGCAATCATAATAACCAGCCTATATTTCCAGAGCTCAGAAGGTGGAGAGAGGGCATCCCTGTCTGGCTGGCTGACAGACTGGCTGAATCAGTAAGCTCTGGCTTCAACAGGGGAGACCCAGCCTCAGTGAATAATGGAAAGCAATTGAGGAAAACTTGCAATGTCAACCTTGTGTTGCTACACGCATGTACATAGGTGCACACACAAACATGTGAACATATGTGTGTATGTATATATATATATATATATATATATATATATATATACATACACACATACATACCACACAAATATACATAAGGGGAAAAAATCCCTCAGCTTCTAAGTCTGAATGGGACATGGATTTTTCATGAGATTGTGGAATTTTTTCCCCTGTATATTTCTATCCAGAGTCCTGACACGGACTTATAGACAAACCTGAGGAAGTCAAAGCAAGCTGCCCTTGGAAAGTCTAGTGCATTTCAAGTCTGATTGGACGTAATATGAGTTTTGGAGTTTCTCATATCAAGTATAAGACAATTTCTTCTGGTCACGTCCGTTTAGCTTGAGATAAATTGAGACAAAAACTCTTCAAAGCAATTGAGAAACTCCCTGTGATGAAAAGCCAACTATCAACTGTCACAAGCAAAGAAACTCCCAGGAAACTGTGTATCTCAAACATTCCTTCCTCAACCACTTAAATGAGTGGTGGCAGCTTTATCAATGCTGTGGTTATGTGAAGACGCTGCTAACACATGGGAAGTCTGACAGGAGGCTCCTCTGTCAAACCTTCACAGTCAATCCCAGAGGCACATGGCTTCTGAGTCACAGAAGATCCAACCAGACCTTGTTTGCAGTTTCTCACCAGCTATGAGATTGTTTCAGCTACCGGGAGGTCAGCATATCCCTGTCATCGTGATGGTGGCTGCTGCCTCACAAACAGTGGAGTTCATCAAGGCACTTAAAAACCTACAGACTTCACAGAGCTAATGTAAGCATTTATGAATTTCATCTCTCCCCATAGAAATGGACTATATCAGCTAAAAGCTAAATTTAAACCTGTTCACAGGAATAAGTAACAAAGTCTTGAAACTGCTGTGTCGTGGTAAAGGGAAGACACTACAACCACTGAAGAGGACAGAGCACACACTATGGAGGAAACCTCTAATGCTATGGAAAAAGGTTGTCATGACAACTTTCCAGTACCTGCCATGAGATGACCAGAGTCCTATGACCAGTTGCTATGGGACCCAACCCAATGAGCTTTACATTTTCTCATCTGAAGGATGGAAGGAAGATATAGATATGCTTGTTCTAATCTGTCTGCACTATATATAATAGTGTTGTGTGCCCCATTTCTTCAGACCAACATAATAACAAATATGCATTATAAGCTTGCTTTGAAAAGTGGGGTGCCAGGAATATCCCTAACCACATTCATATGCCTACTTTAACCCTCAGAACCTTAACAATCGAAGATAGTTTTTATTAAAGACCTAAAGGAAAATATGCCTCTACAAATCAAATAATTTGACCATCCAGTAGGTAGCAAGTGGGGTTGAAATTCCAAGCAGGGTGGAAGGAAAGCCCAGGACTGAACCTTCCCCATTCTACTTCAGACACCACACTTAATACAGAATGCTTCTGGGAGTGATCACTTGGGTTTTCTCCACAACAGTCAATTCCTCCACACCAACTGAGTGTCCTACAATTCAAGTCCACTTCCATGAACTATTTTCATGGAAATAGCCTCAAGTCAAACCTCACTCGGATAACAATACCCCAGGTTGTCACCTCTGCTGTAAATCACACGTCCCATAAACCCTTTCTCAGACTCCAGAATGTTAAGGTAGCTTAAAAACCCTAAAGAAACATTTTACTTACATTTACAGCTTTACTATAAAGAATATTATAAGTTACACAGATAAATAGCTAGATGAAAGAGATGCATTAGGCAAGGTCAGGCACTTTCTGAGTGGAATGGATATAGACAAAGGAGATGCATTCCGTTGGGTACAGAGCAACCAGGCCCTCTCTGGGCATGCCTTACTCTGCCTACATCTCCACATAGCCATGTGGAAGGAAGTTCTGATCTCTGAACTCCATAGTCCAGGGATCTTTGTAGAGCTTTTAGCCATAGGGATGATTAGTAATGAGCCCACTCCAGCCCATTTCCACTTCCTTGTGGTTGAAGGCTAGGAATAAAAGTCCCTAACTTCTAGTAATGGTTTGGTCTTTTGGGGGAGCCAGTTACACTCAGACACCAACTCAGAGTCATCTTGTTAGAACAAAAGTCACTTCTATCACCCATGGAAACTTAAAGGAACTTATGAGCTTCATGTCATAAGTTACCATCAACGATCAAATAATAGGGCAGAAGACTCTCCCAGAACCTGCACTCCCTGGGAAATTACAGGGAATCCAGAATGAATGTACCAAGAATCAGGGAAAAGAACAAATTATACTTTCCTTATTATGAATTATAATACTAGGAAAACACCGTGGAAGTGATCTTATTTCCTGCTCTAATAAGGCACACCTTGCCCCCGTGTAAACATTATGTGGTGGTATTAGGAGCAGTGACGATTAGTTCCAACTATTTATTGCAGCTATAGCAATCTGCTGTCGCCTTCTATTTAATTAAACAACCATCTGCTTTCTGCAGGGAAACAATAAATCATTTAGTAAAAAAAAATGTACATTTGTGTACTTACATTAGCTATTTTAGAGAAAGAAAAATAGAGAAAGGCCACAGAGAGAAGAGGGAGGAAGAAATAAAGGAAGCAACAGTGTGCCAGATGTCAGCACTGTGAAGATGTTAATATCCATTCTGAATCCGCTTTGTAATTTCCTCCCATTCTGTGGATTGCTTCGCTCCACAAGTCAAAACATTTCATCCCACACGCGAAGAGCATTGTGAATGGGGCCTCACATTGCAGAGCTGATTAGGAGACATGCTCCACATCCCTCAGAGAAATGGAGTTCTTTTTAATCTCCAGGATAAAGATTTTTAAATGTCACTTTTCTCACTGCCATATGACTTACATATTTTTAAACCACACTTCATTTCCAACAAGCACTGTACCAAAAGCTTGGTGATCAAGGACAGACATCATTGTTAATAATTGTGTAAATCCTGACAGCTTATCTTTAAAAATGGCTTGTTGAAAATGTTAGCATTATATCCAGAACTGATTCTGGTCTAATGTTATTATAAATGAAAAGATTTTACTTAATCTTTTCCCCCGCCCCTTTTCTTTTTAACCCTGGCATCTTTAACAGGTAGCATTTTGTTAACACTTAATAAAGGCATGTCACAAACTGATCTTAACAAAAGGAAATAAAACTTGTCCTGCATTCATAAGCTGGCACAGTTTTGTTTGTTATTTGTCTTGATAAATTAAAAAAAAAACTCTGAAGAATTCTGTGGGTTCAGAGTGGTGTGTTTAAGCATAATCAAACAGTGCATTTAGTGCTATGTTGTGGTTCTCATATGAAGTGATCGCAGCTCACCCTACAGGAATTTGTCACCTGCTTCACCATAAATGCCCCCATATAGGAGCTTCCTGCCCTCCAGAAAATGACCTTTGAAGAGTAGCACTGCCCCTGGTTGGATATAAGTCAATCCTGCAGTATGTCACCATGTCCCACCTCTTTCGTTCTGACAGACAGCCTTCAGGATGCGATGTCCCAGGCCACATTTCCCATGCTCGGGGATACAGATCCCTTCAGAAGCAAGCCATCGATGACACATTGGATCCTCGCAAGGCACAGATTCTACCAGGTGAGGGCAGTGCCCCGTGGGCCCTGTAGACTCCATGAGAACATGGCGCTGTCTCATTCTAAAGCCTGAAAGGAGAGAGAAAGCACAGCTTTCAGTATTTCACCCCGATCCTGCAAAGGCAAAGGAGCCGCTGCCTGGCCGCAGATGGAACTTCCCCTGCGAACACTTGCAGCTCTGACGCATGTGTTATCTCGGGGGGGGGGGGGGGTTTGGGGGGGTTATTTATGAGATGGAGGGATATGAAATGGAAAGGAAAAGAGAAATGTGGGAAAGAATGAGAGTGTACAAGTGTCTTCCAAGAAGAGATGACAGACAGGCCAGATGGAATCAGATGAAATAATGAACAGGGTGCATCCAATGGTGTCTGTAATCCAGGAGCTTTGGTGAAGACCCACAGCCACACTTGCTCACAGATACATCCGCATTTCATTTTTGGATTGCTTTCAGCAACCTGTTGCTTTACATTAAACAGCACATTTACACCTTTGTCTATGCCTCGTGCCTGACCACTCACAGCTTCCTGCTTTGACAGTTCCCTGTATGGCTTCTCTGAGATTCCCACATCAGCATGTCTATATAGATGGTGTCTCTAGGACTTCATTTTCTATGCTAACTGGGCATGTTTTCTCAAATTCCCATAGTCAGAGCCTGTAATAAGGACATAGGCAGGTTTTGAAATGCTACAGAATCACAAACTATACTTCAATAGGAGTAAGGTAGGTACATGCAGAGGAAAGATCAACTGTGATACTGTAAAATGTGATAAAGACTATAAGAAAATGGAGGGTGTGGACTTGCTCCAAAAGGCTTTTTATTATTCAGCTTTCTTGAGCTGGTGTCATGAGAGAACATGGGCATTTTCATAATATCTCTCTCTCTTTTGTCTAGATGCCAGAAGTAGAAGCTATACTTTGTTTTTATACAATATGTTTGCTTTAAATAATTTAAAGTAACATTGAAAAACAATAACAACAACATGACCTCAAGAAAAGAATGAATGAGTGAATGAGAACTCCCTGAGACCCATTAATGACATGACTTGCAATCCTTGGTTCTCTTGATATATCTGTCACTTTTATGGGCATAGATCTCACCCACATTATCTCCCATGGTTATGCTCAAATTCTGTCAGCCCATCATGGTCTTTCAATTTCTTTTTCAAAACTGCTTCTCATATATCTTCAGTCTGGGCTCAAACTCACTCCAGAGGGGAGGACGGTTTTGAATTTCTCACTCTCCTGTCTCTATTTCCCAAGTGCCAGGATTATAGGCATGTGTCACCATGTCTGGTTTTTGTGGTAAGGGAGATTGATTCCAGGACTTCCTCAATGCTAGGTAAGTGCTCTACCAACTAAGCTGCATCTGTTGCCAAAAATCCTTTAATTTAACCCCTCATATGTTTGAACTTCCAGTCCCAAGTTGGTAGTGCTGTTTGGGGGGTGGTAAAGCCTCTAGGAAGAGGAACCTTGCCAGAGGAAGTAGCTCATTGGATGAGGGCCTTGACATTTGACAGCTTGGTCTCGCCCCTGTTCACTATCCACTTCCTGACTGCAGAGGTAATGTGACTGGTCACCTTGGGCTCCTGTCACCATTCCTTCCCCACCATTATAGATTTTATCTCTTGAGCTGTAACATCAAATAAACTTTTCTTTTAGCTGGTTGATGCTACGAATGTGTTGCTCTGATTGATTGATAAATAAAATGCTGACTAGCCAGTAGCCAGGCAGGAAGTATAAGCGGGACAAGCAGAGAAGAGAATTCTGGGAGGTGGAAGGCTGAGTCAAGAGACGCTGCCAGCCCCCGCCACGAGAAGCATCACGTAAAGATACCAGTAAACCACAAGCCATGTGGCAAGGTATAGATTTATAGAAATGGGTTAATTTAAGATGTAAGAGCTAGTTAATAGTTAGCCTGAGCTGATGGCCAAGCAATTTTAATTAATATGAGCTTCTGAGTGATTAATTTTATAAGCAGTTGCGGGGTCTCTGGGGCTGGGCAGGACTGGAGAAAACTCCAGCTACACTTCTCCTTGATTTTTTCTTTGGGGGGGGGCTGGAGACATGGTTTCTTTGTGTAGCTTTGTGCCTTTCCTGGAACTCACTCACTCAGTAGCCCAGGCTGGCCTTGAACTCATAGAGATCCACCTGCCTCTGCCTCCTGAGTGCTGGGATTAAAGGTGTGTGCCACCACCACCTGACTGAGTCCTTGATTTTTGTGAGGTATTTGATCATAGCAAGACAGAAAATAACTAATATACTACTTAGACATCATTTAGCAGATAGTGACTATTACAATGATACTAAAATTCCTAAGGTTAATTAAAATAATAACAACGGAGCCGGGCGGTGGTGGCGCACGCCTTTAATCCCAGCACTCGGGAGGCAGAGGCAGGCGGATCTTTGTGAGTTCGAGGCCAGCCTGGTCTACAGAGCGAGATCCAGGAAAGGCGCAAAGCTACACAGAGAAACCCTGTCTCGAAAAACAAAAAAAACAAAAACAAAAAAAAAAAAAAAAAAAAAAAAAAAAAAACAACAACGGAGATTACTGCTCTGTTATCACCTAGCTCCACACCACTAAATACTCAAAATACAACCTACAGAAAGCTCAGCCTCAGTCTTCGGGAACTCAAAGACAGCTACAAGGGGCATACAGGGCACTCAACTACACTCGGCATAAATTAAAGACTTCTCAGCTCTTGCCACCCACTGCATGACTTGAATGACCTCCACTTTTACACATAACACCCGTGCCCTGCTTATTTCCTGGCATTTGTTTGTACTTGTTTAGCTCTTGTCTTTGAACAAGAAATGGCATGATTTACACTTTGACAACCAGCTTGAAGAACAGTACGGAAACTTTGCATTCTCTATGGAGGGATTTGGGTGTCCTATTCCTGGAGCTTAAAGCCAGTGAGGGGCTCATGCCATTTCCCTCTATAAATCATGTTGCATCCATCTTGCCATAAATCTATAGAGTGCATCTCCTTAGCCAATAAATTCTTTCAGGCTCTTTTGTGTGTGTGTGTGTATGCTGCCCTTGTCCAGACTCTAAGTAGGATCAAATCACACCACAACCTCAGCATAAAACAAGCATCGTGGCTTCCTGTTCTACTTAACTTCCTCCCACACGGGCATCCATGCCTGCAGTAAACAACGGGGTTTCCCAGGTGTTCTATTCCAAGAGAAATACAACACCAAGTTCACCATGGCTGGGACAGCCAATGTTTCACAATTATTGAACTCTATGTTAGCCAAATATTATTATTCAGTAAATATTAAAAACCATGTGAATATTGATGTCCTGCATTGGAGGAAGGACAAGAGGCAAATGTCTAACTCTCATTTCCATATAACTCAAGAAGGGGAAAGGGCCACAGCAATTAACCATGACAGCGAGAGATGGTTCATTTACATTACTCCAAACTTAAACCCTCTAGACTTTTGTAAGCTTTTCTGACCATTCTAGATATGTGTAAACAAAGGCCAGATTGCAATATATTACTTCTCTGAGGGTGTGTCAGCAGTAGGTTAGGAGGGTAGGAAGTTGACCAGAGTTCTAACCTCACAGACTTAGCTCCTGCCTGCAACATGTTTTTGGTCCTACTTCACAAGGTACATCTGAAAGCCATCATGGGTCAACCCCTTAAACTGAAGCTAGACAGAGTAGAGAGAAGGATTTAGGGCTCTGTGTAGGAGACAGTAACAATCATCACTTCATAGCCAGAGATTCACCATGCACCTTTGAAAGAACCACTATTCTCAGGGTTTTGTTGTTGTTAGTATTGCCATGAGCTCTGAGCCCAAAATTTATGGTTTCATGTATCATTCTACCATAGGCAAACAGACAAAACTGAATAGTGGATTGGGGAGAGTAAGGTCAGAAGAGAAGATGGCAGAAGAGAAGTCAACATTTTTTAGGTGAAAACAGATAAGAATTTAAGGAGGCTCATGGTATATCTAAGTCTGAAGACTATTTCTACTGTGTCATGGGGTAACAGTGGTCATGTGAGCTTCCCTTGAGCTGTTCATGAATAGCACTGTTTCCATGCTAACCCATGGATCTAGGATAGAAAACATAGCCAGCAGACTACACACAGATAGCAGAAGTCTACTGTGTGCTAAACATTGCATTTGCCATCTGTCTCTGGCAGCCCTGGATGAGGATGCTGAGCCCAAGAACCTGATAAGACTGCAGGTATGTGTATGTGTTCATATGTATGTGTGTATACATGCATGTACATGCTTGTGTACCGGCCAGAGTGCAACCTAGGTTGTTGTTTCCGATGTACCTTGTTTTTTGAGGCAGGGTGTCTCCATGGCCCAGGACTCTCAAAGGTTAAGCTGGCTGGTCAGCAAGCCCCAGGGACTAGTCTGTCTGTGGCAGCACAGCAGAGGGATTACAAATGCACAGCACTATACTTGACTTATTTCACATGGTTTCTGGGAATCAAATTCAGGTCACCACGCTTATACGATAAGTAAGTACTTTACGGAATCAAGAAGCCCCTTTTCCCCTAGACTGAATCTTTGATTCCAATTACTTAGATATCAACCATGATGATTTCCCAGTCTGTTATAACATAGAAAATAGGAGCATTGATAGGGTAAAGCAGTCATGAAAACCTTCAATCCTTTACATAAGAAGTAGGTACAGCTTATTGCCAGCCCCAACACACAGACACACAAAAATAGAACAAGGAAAAAAATATTATTTGTAATAAAGCCAATTTTTTTATAGAATTCATATACATGTAAAATTAGAGTCAACCCAGCAAGCAACAATGGAAAAGAGAAATATTACCACAGTAAAACTAGATTTCAGGTATGTCGGTGACTTTTGACCTAAGTTTACTGCCTATGTTAGTTTTTCAGAATGTGAAGGATGTCTTTAAGAATAGTCCTACAGTCTCAATTTAAAAATGTCTTTTTCTGCAGGGACTTTGCATGCTCTTCTGTGCTGTGGTTGGGGAACTACATTGGAGCAGGGGAGGAATCCCTAAAGTCCTGTGTAGAAGCTGGCAGCTATTAGGATGCCACATATAGAGGTCGCCATCCAACTCCTTTCAGTAGGTTGCCTTCCTAGAACTTGTCTGCAAGGAACAAGGGTGTCAGGTGAATCTGCATCAAGAGGAATTTTTAAAACTGCCTCACATCTATGTGTGGGGCTCATCCATCAGCATTTTCTTCAGGCTGATTCTCTTTTGTATTTCTCTAATTACTACACTGTGGGAGTATCTCCGAGAAAAAGCAATAAACGATACAACCTGATCCCATTTAAATTCCTTTGGAAAGTGTCCCAGCGTCACTTGACAAGCACCAACCTGCCAAACGCTGCTCCCCTTGTCTGCCTGTCACTGATGTGATGGAAGGTGCAGAGCCTGTGAATGTTGACTGATTTCCTAATGCATTCCGAGTAGCTGACAGCCATGAGCCTTAGATGATGCCTGATTGAGGGGTGCCTGATGGAGAACAACAGCCATAGAAAGATAATTTCTATAACGATTTATTCTATTAGCTAATAAAACATTTCCTACCATCTAAATCCCCCATTCCTTTCTATTTTTTTTTATGTGAATAAAGAGAACAGAACAAACTAAGATGAAGCCATGTGATCAGAAGGGTGTGTGTGTTGGACAAAGGTCTCCATCTTTCCACATGTTTCCTCATTGTTTGCTTGATTTTATCTCAAATCTTCTACTTTTCTTTCTCTAAAATATATACACATATGTATAACTATTAAAGACTATATCTGTATAAATATGTACCTGTATACATATGTATGAGGCTATAAACCATCCAGGAACTTTTCTGTATTTTGGATTTCTTCTGCTAGTGAGTTGATTGCATTTCTTGTAGGGAATTCAGATAGGAATCTGCACACCCCACTGCTGTCCCAGGGTTTTTTTCAACACCTAGTACACATCCTGTGTGTCCAGCCTCTGTGGAATTCTAAATCATATTTACTGTGTGCCAATCAAGGACTCTGGCCCAGTCCCTATAGGATCAGGGGACAGAAATAGAGAATGAGAAGAACACAGACTTCATCCTCACCAGTTGGTAGAAATAACAAGATGATTGCTCCCATCACCATCACACACTTGGTCTGCCTGTAGGCATGGAATCATTTCCCCAGAGGGAGAACTCCATTCCGTATTTTTCCCAAGAGGAATTAGAGGCAGGTGGTCCTGCCAGGTTCCAGCAAGACCTAGAGGACTGATTTCTCTCTGCTTTAGGAATTATTTTAAAATAGCAAACTGTCAGCCCTGAATAACAATTACAAAAGCTGTCTATTTTCTCTGCCCATGGTTACTTAGCACTGAGAAGAGAAGCTATCTTCCAGTTGTACACTGAAGTCACCTGGTTTCGGTCTGAGCTCTCTAAAAACAAAGATATTAACAGCAACTCCAACATGCCCCCAAAGGCTGCAGGACTCCTCCACCCCAGGTCATAATTCCCATGCCCCTATATAGTTTTTCAGAACCCAAGACTGAACTGAAAGAAACTGTTGCTTGGGGCAAAATGCACACTCAGTGGTTACCTGTTACCCTCCATTTCTACCCACTCCTGTGACTGCAGGGTCCTTTTTCATCTGATGATCCTGCAGTTGCACTAAGGCTGGTGTCAGCATCCCTCCTGATCTACATCAGCTCAAGGGTTCATTCTCAGGGGTCATGGTTCACCTGGCTACTTCAGTGCACAGCTGGAAGATGGCTTTTCTTCTCAGGGCTGGATTTGTACCTCAGTCCAAACGTCCTTGAGCTTAGGAAGAAAATCGACTAATGAGTCTATGTGTTTGGAAAGACACTGGGGAGCAGGGAGCATGGGGTCAGCCCTGGCTTAGCTATTGCTGTTGTATTCATTGATGTTTATGTATATGTGTATGAACATTTGCATGTTTATGGAGGTGCATGTGTGTGAACGTTTGTGTGGAGATCAGAATAATGGCCAGTGAGAAGAAAGTTCTACACAAGGATATGCTGAGGGAGTCCACAAGGAGAAAGAGTTACAGGTTTCTCCAATGAATTCCAGGGATGTGTCTGAGTTATGTGGAGAAAGAAGCCTGGGATAAAATTTAAAACATCAGTTCTTTACAGTGTTTTATGAAAATTTTGGCTCAAGCAAAAATAAATACAACATAGAAATAGGGAAAAAGCATATGCTCCAAATTGCCATAAAGAAGCCAATGGATCAGAACAAGAGGACTAAAAACTTAATCTATTGACTAATCATCTACAAATGTGGCCCCAGAATCACTTTTGACTTCTCAAAGTATCCCCAAGGAGGCCACCATTCCCCTTATCTCTCTTCCTCTTCTGCACCCTCAGCTTGTGAAGGTTGAGAGCAGCTGAACCACTCTGCATTCTGGGAACATAAGCTTAGGCCCTAACCACTCAAGCCACATCCTTTGGTCAGGGAGCATGCAGGGATGAGCATACAACCCCATCAGCCGATGTTCCTCCCTAGAGCACTTCCTGGAACTACTGGAGAAGATGTTCTCTCCTACATTACTTATCATCTTAAATAAAATTCCCTACTGATCTTTGGTCTATGAAGATGGCCTATCAAACTCAAGCTACTGTGGAGAACAATGCAATGAGAAGACAGCAACTTGCAGAGTTGAGAAGTAGAAGGATGGAAAGGAGAAAGTCGAGAGCCCCTGACATTGTTCGTACTGTTGAATGTCATTCTGGTGGCCATTCTGTTTTCAGATGTTTGAGTTAATAAGTCTCTTCATTGGTTAGAAACCAACATGAACTGGTCTCATGTTACCTACATCCATAAGTGTCCCAAATAAGTTGAGGTCCATTTGGTGTATTGAGAACTCTGCAGCTTTGAAAGCAAAATAGAATGGCAGTCTGTGCCTCCATGCAGTCCAATTTTACTTGCAGGCACACCCCTGACCAGAGCAGTTGCAGCTTTGGTAAAGCTTGATGTGGTTTGGTTTTCTTGGGAGTAGCCCTAAAAGCTGGTATGGCATGGATGAACTTCAGGAGGACGAGTTCTAAGTTCTAAGAGAATGTAAGTCACCCTAAGGAGTCTCATACACAGCTGTAAGCAAATGATAAATTCTAATTATATAGAGAGCACATTTGTGCTACTAGTTTTAACGGAAACTTTTCAGTGCCCATAAGCTGAAGCAATATAAGGATACTGGGGTTATGTGATGCACTATCTTGTTTCACATTGTTACAAGCAAATATCTGACCAAAGCAACTTGGCAAAGGGAGGAAAGGTTTACTCTGGCTCCCAGTTCAAAGGAAACAGCCCCACACATCAGGGAAAGCACAGTGGCTGAAAAGGCTCCATCCATAGTAGCTGAACCTCAAGGTCTGGCTAGTTCACATCTTAGAAGACCAGCAAGTAGAAAGTATTGGAAGTGTGGCTGATCTAGAGTCCTCAAATATGTGTCCCCAGTTATTCATCTGTGCTAGCTATTCTTCTCAACTCCAAGGTTCTATAGCACTCAGAAACAGTGGTCCCAGCCATGAAGGCAGTGTTTGAAACATGAACTTGTGAGAATATTCATGTTATACAGGAGATTAGTTCAGCCTGCCAGGACCTGTTAAGACATTGATTTCTACAAGTTGTTGAAAAAAACAAAACAAAACAAAAAACAGAAATCAAAGTTAGCATCCTCCTGTCCCAGATTCAATACTGTTCTTCCTCTTTTTACTTGCAATAAGAGTCAGAGCAAAATGAAATCCCTGCAAGCCTGGGCCATGAACATGCACATGTGTGTGCCTGGGGCAAGCCGCAGATGACAGTCACGTGAGATTGTAGTGGCTATGGCATTTTCTTGCACAGACAGGAATCATAAAGGATCACTGCACTCAACAGTTGGGCATGTATTGTTTCTCTGCATGTAAAGTAAGATTATAGCTGAGCAAACACAACCTACCATCTGGGAAGCCATTGGTTCTTATTTTTCTTCATATTAATAAAAGGAATATTTTCTCTTAGCACAACATGCAAGGAGAAAGACACTTGTGGAAGCTTGAAAGGTCAGTAAAGGATGGCAAGGTGCCTCTGGGCTTGCAGGGGTGGGGATGGACATTTTAAATACAAAATGGAGAAAATGAGATTGCAATGGCTAACTAAATAAAAAAAATTGAAGATGTTACTTTAAGCCTGAGGGCAATAAACCCTAACCAATATACACACACATACATCATGTCCTTTATTACAATATAAAATATAAGACCAAATGCTAAATGTAGAAAACTAAAAATAAAGCAATAACAAAAATAGTTGGTTTCTGGTGTGATTACATGAATCATGTCTATGGACCTCAGTGTAATCATCACTTATATGAAAAAGTAAGTTAGATTTTTTTTTATTTGAGACAGCATCTCATGTAGCCCAGGCTAACTTCAAATTCATTATGTAGCCAAAAATGAACTTGAAATTCTAATCATCCTGTCTTTGCTACCCTAGTTAAAGCATATACCAGCAAGCCTGGTTTGATGTGATACTGCAAGTTGAATCCAGGGCTTTATGCATGCTAGGCTAGCACTCTACCAACTACGCTGCGACAGTAGGACCAACATTATTTCCAACTGAGTAACAGTCACTTATTCAGCTATGAGTTTAATATGAAAGTCAATCAAGGTCAGATTCTGTGCTCCACAGAAATGTCCTTAGCTGCCTCCCTAATAACTAAATGCTGCCAAGCCTGAGCCAGTTATCTAAATACAAACAAATGCTGGCTTAAGCTGGCTTAGTCTGCTGCAGAGCAATGTGTACACTGGAAGTGCAGGAAGCATGGCATGGACTCACCTTTCTTCCCCTGAGGATCACGGCAGTTTTCGTGAACACACGGGCCCCAGGATGACCAGGAAGATACTATGCAGGCCGTCGAGCAAGGGACATTGCAGAGCTGGGAGGCTGAGGGGGCAGGTCCCAAACATAATGTACTTTCCACAGGCCTAGAGACTAAAGGACAAAAATATAAATGCCTATGTCACATTCTTTGGACTTCCCTAAAATCATATCCTTATCAGGTTTATGATTCTGGAGAGTATATGCAATCAAGACAAACATTTTCTAATACGAATGTCTAGTTCTACATTATTAGCCTTTGGGGTGAGTAAAGAAAGACAGAGACAGAGGGCATGCGCTTGAGATCCCTGAATTGCAAAGCACTCCCAGGGAATTCGAGAGAGCAGTGGAAATATCACAGACACAAATTATCCAGAGGTATGATTTAAAACAGAATAAATGTCTTGGTGAAATTTCAAGAAGAGTCTATCTTAACAATATAAATGACTGGGTCACTGTGAAAAACATCAAAATCGAACCCCTAAGGTGCAGCGTTTAGCATAACCAATCTACTGCTGTGACTCCCCGGAGGGGTGGAGCTGGCAAAGACAGAAGAAAAATGGTTCTTCGACTAAGAAGAACAATTGGACCCTGACTGCGGTTTTGGCTTGAGGAGGAACTTTCCTAACTGGGTTACCCAGAGGTTCAGGGCTCCAAGGAGGAAGAGCTTCCAGATGCGCAGATGGGGGCCTGGGCGGGGTCCTCTCAGGGGACAGTGACTATCTGTCCTTCGGTGGTGTTCACTGTCCTCTGCCCACAAACCTCAGCACCACAAGAACACAAGCAATGGAGGAAAACACAAGGTCCTGGCCTGTGTGCAAACTTAACAATGGGAACGGGAGCCTTGAAAATAACACATGAAAGACACAGGTCTAAGTCTACTGCGGCAGTATTTACTACAGATGAATTGTAGCATGGACTCAGGTGTCCATCCAGAGAAGGGTGGTGAAAGAGAGATTTCAAGGAAAGGGGAATAGAATGCAGATTCTAAGAAGGGTGAACAGGGAGTAGTGGAATGGAACAAGAAGGAATGAATGAGGCAGGAAGGGCGGGATGGACGGAGGAGGGAGTATAGGAAAGGAAACCTTATATTAAAGACCTTTGAAAATGCCATATGGGGACCTACTAGTGCAGAAATGTCTGAAAATATATCCATATTCATAGATAAAAAGGGTCCTGTAAACCATCCCAAGATAAAGACTGCTGTCATTGCCCTTGTTTACCCTCCAGAACTTGATGGGAAGACGCTACTGATGAAGACATCACATACTTGAGTCACAGGATAAATCAACCTGCAAGCTTCATCCCTTACTGGCTAGTTTTCATCGTGGTAAAAGGTTCTGGGCACAGCATCAGGGGAGCAAAGCTGTCAACAGTCTACCCAGCTATGAACCGTGTGAGCCGGGCGGTGGTGGCACACGCCTTTAATCCCAGCACTTGGGAGGCAGAGGCAAGCGGATCTCTGTGAGTTCGAGGCCAGCCTGGTCTCCAAAGCGAGTTCCAGGAAAGGCGCAAAGCTACACAGAGAAACCCTGTCTCGAAAAAACAACAACAACAAAATAATAATAATAATAAGATATAAAAACCAGGAGGTAATATTTAGGAAGAGAAAAATTACTAGCAGAATGGGTTTTGTGGGGGGGCGGGGGACAAATGTGATCCTAGCATCTGAGAAGCATGCATGCAAACCTCATAATAAAACATTTTTTTCAGTACCATTTTGATTCTCAAAATGTACATCAAAAAGGAAATACAAATATAGAGCTGTTTACTTTTCTACACAGAGTTGCCTCCGATTGAAAAAGTTTTGAGACATTCCAAATTTTGTGAGCAGTAGCTTCGATTCAGGAAGTTGTATCTACTGACTGGCTTGTATTATTTTGTAAATATTTCCCACATGTCATTTGTATCCAGTTGAACAGATTGAAAATGCCTCAAAGGTGGGAAGTGGCGTGAGGGGACTGGGTGGTATGTCACACCACCCCGTTTGCTTCCTCGCTCTCTGGGTAGAGAAGCATCAGATGTAGTGAAGGCTGCAATCCGTCACAACTCTGAGCAGAGGAGCTTTGAATAAGAATCAAATCAACAGCAAAAGAGAAAACAAATACTGTCATGGAAAAAGACACAGGTTTGTGAGCTGGGGTGGGGGTTCTGATGAGCAAAGTCACAGTCTGCATCGTTTGTGAAAGCAAATGAAAAGATCGTGAAAACACCACCAATATTTTATTTACAATTTATTATTATTATTATTATTAATTTTTTGGTTTTTCGAAACAGGGTTTCTCTGTGTAGTTTTCATGCCTGTCCTGGATTTTGCTCTGTAGACCAGGCTGGCCTCAAACTCTCACAGAGAAACGCCTGCCTTTGCCTCCCGATTGCTGGGATTAAAGGTGTGTGCCACCACTGCCCAGCAAAAATTAATTATTTTAAAGTGTATCAAATTGAATAGTTTTGACTTAAAATGAAAGTCAAGTGCAAAGTTAAATTGCCAGTGTAAATGTGAAAATATGTGTGTCATGGAGTGGGGGCAGGGAAAGGAGGAGAGAACAGATATTGGGGGAGTTAGGGAATCTGTCCAGGGATATTGATAAGGGAAGTAATAAGATCATACTACAGTTGTCAGTGGGATGTGAACCAAAATTAGAGATGGATCTATGAGATGGCTGGATTCAGAGTAAGGCAAGCTACACAGACACACATCTGCTGAGTAAATAACTCAGCCATTCTAAACCACCGAGTCACCATTTAAACTAGCCACTCTTGGGTAGTGTCTGTGTTTAAGGAACTCTCTACCAACAAGATTAAGTCAGGCAACAGATTAACAGACAATGGAAGGAAAGGCATCTGAGTGTCCCATACATAAAAAAACAACAAAGCCAGATGTCTTAATGTGGAAGTGTCCTTGGCTCCCATCCTATGTGTGTTGGCATTTATTGCCACAAGCATAGAAAGGAACTCCTGCAACAGACCAGAAGGAAGTAGGCATGGCAGCTGTTTAGTCCAATCATTTATTAAACATGCACAATGTATACCAAGCATGGGTCATAACATCAAACAGATACTGACACCTTTGGTCTGGGTAGCTTTTCTTTGAGATACATGTTCTTAATACCTCTAGTTTTAAAATAAAAGAACTACACTATAGAAATGTTAGCTCACAGGCTGCAGAGAGTGCTCAGCAATCAAAGTGCAGAATTCTGCTTCCAGAACCCACTTGACTGGCTTAGAACCCCTTGTATCTCTAGCTCCAAGTAATCTGACACCCTCTTCTGGCCTCTATGGGCATTGCACTCACACGTACATATGCCACACAGATACACACAGACATAATTAAAAATAATAATAAAAAAACGCTCTAAAACAATCTTAGCTCACTTGCTCACAAGCTTAGCCAGGGAATGGTGGAGATAAGATCTGGAACTAGGCAGTCTGGCTTCTGAATTTATTCTGTGAACCACTTCATTAGGTGAAGTTTTTACTTGAAATTCTTTAGTGTCCATTATGCATGAGACACTTTTTGAGTCGCCCTAGGCTGACCGTGCTCTCCCTCAACTGCTTGCCTGCCACTCAAAAGAATAGCTACTGAATATGTTAGAAATTTAGCATTGTGATAGAAGAGAAGAACTGGCCAAAAAGAGCATGGACTGTATACTAGTGACCCCACAACAAGGTATCCTCGGGTACTATGCCATGTGCCCCAATGTATAAAACCTGGAGTGGGCCACTTTCAGTCGAGGCATGCAGAGCCAAGCATACAGATATGTGTTTTCTGTACCTTGGAAGACAGGCTCAGGAAAAGTTAGACTTTATTTGTTCCTTGCCACCTGTCAGTAAGGAACAAATCTGCTTCATAAAACATGCTGTATATGAGTGAGTTTTACATATCTGTGTGTTTGTACATCTGTATGTCTGTGTGTCTGTTTGTTGACTCAGAAAAACTGACAATCAGTACACAGTGACCCACATCACAGCTTGTGTTAACACCGTGTTCTTGATGGAGGAGTGATGAAGAGTAGTAAGACAGTCCAAGACCTTCTCCTCATAGAACCACATTCCACTGGGGTTGGGTCCAAACTACATAGGTATCCAGGAGCCCAGCAAGACGTCAAGGATGGGCTTCTGCCCTCTTTCTTTTACCACGTCTCTCTCCTTTCAACACCATCCAGACGAAGTACCAGATGCCAGAGCTGAAAAGTCCCCAAACAGCTCAACACTAAGGTGAATCAGTGGTATGCTATCATCTCTTTGCATCTGATGCTCGGCACAATAGCCGACACTACTCAATCCACCAGTCAAGTGTCTACCAGGCACATGGTGAAATCTTGGTAAATCTCATGTGAAGCTCCCAGAATGCCTGGCAGGAAAGGCTCTTAGCTGAAGTGCAGTTAGAAAGAGACAAGGGAACATGCCCTGCAGCTGAATCTGTCAGGACACCACAGTCTCACTTAAATAGACCTGTTGGTTTCATTTTGAAGAGAAGTTGAGGACAGCCTGTGGTTAAGGGTTAAGTTCCCTGAAGCCCTCATTCATAAATACTCAGCTGTCAATTAGTAGACTGCTAGGCGATGCAAGTAATATAAGATTTGAAAGTAGAGATAGTCACTATTACCTGGAAAAAGAGCAGGGAATAATTTCCTTGGGGACTCTAGAGTGACATATCAGAGACTCAGGGACAGGGTGAAACCATTTGTCAAAACAGTCATTTTTCTTCAGCACCTGCTGCTTTGATGGACAGTCAATCTTAATCCATATCAATAAATTCCTCCAGCCATGGTGACATGTCTAAGATGCTGCACTTAGGCACCGAATCGATGTGTCTGGGTCAGCCTAGTTCTTTCATGACCCCAAGTCCCACCCCAGGACATATTTGCTCCAGAAATAATAATGATGAATACATCACAAAGCACTTAGCAGCTTCAGAACCCTGGAGAAGGGTGAACATAGGATGCTTCTATACCTATTGACTGTTAGCCCTGGATGTCAGCTTTAGGGCTAACTGAGTTTAATTAATCAATTTGACTGAAAAACTAAACTCCAAGGACTCAGACGGTTTGTACAATTTCATTATCAAATTCAGAGGATAGCAAGACCTGAGCCTTAGGCTAGGAAGCAAA